TATATGATATAAAAAAATATTTTTCTGGCATGTAAAGTGCACTTTTTTTTTTTTAATGACATTGTCTGTTTTAAGCAGTTTTTGACCAAATGGACTTTAGCAAACAGGGGTGTGTCATTGTTTGTAGAATTTTACTAAATGTGTTGTTTTTATTTTAAGTTTGTTAGATTTAACTTCAGTTTTCTACAGTGAATTTTTCGTGCACACAATCATATTAATTCAAACATGTTTTTTTAGTATTTGATTTGTCTCTGTTTTCTCTGCCAAGCTATAGATTGTACTATTATGTGTGTGTGTGTGTGTGTGTGTGTGTGTGTGTGCTTCCTCAGACATTTAGTAACCTTTAAAAGAATGAGAGTGAAGGACAGGGGTTGTCTGACCCTTCTCCTTCGGAAACCAAACACTGTGCTTCTTAGACATGCTCTTCCTCATTCATGAATTCTGACCTGCACATACACACACGGTTCACTCGACAATGAATGAAAGCAAGCCTCCGAGCAGAATGGAATGGCAAAGACGTCAGTCTGTTTTCAGAAACAATACAAACCGCAATGATGATGTCAGTAGGAGGCTTTCTCAGAGAGAACAGGAGTTTTAGAACATGATGCCACGACCCACTGAAACATGCATTAGCAGGGGGTCATGGGAAAGAAGGCCCCTGGGCCCTGCTGCTCAGACACAGTAGGAGAAGGACAAACAATCTAGAGAGACCATGTTGAAGGAGGAGATCTCTGCTGCTTATTTTGCTTCCACACCACTTGTTTAAAGTACAAATCAGCTTCTCATCCCATTGCACCCAGAATCATTAAACACCAAGGGTTATTTGCAAAGTTGAATGAATCCTTAATACCTGTTGACTTAAAAACGAAATGGCTTGTGGCAGAGCTGAGGGCTGATTTGTGTATGGATTCTTATTCGGCTTCTACTTTTCCATAAAAAGCCAAAACAATCACAAATCTCGGTAATAATGTCCAGTTATAGATGAAGTAATTCAGCAATCGATGCCTCACTCAGCGGAACCATGGTGGGATCTTAGAAGCTGGGTTACCCCTTACTGAGACCAAACTAATAACCTTTGTGTAAGCAGCCTACATTGTTATCCATTAGGCTTTCACGATCCATACATGCCTGACATAGACAGAGCATGCGGCATAGACTACACAATAGATATTAATATTTTCTGTCACCCCTAATGCAAACTGCATCGTATTTATTTAATGTATGTTCTTTTTGTTTTGTATTGTTTAGGACGGTGCAGTGTAGACAGGAAAGTGGAGGGAGAAAGTGGGAGAATGGGACCAAGGTTTAAACTTTAAACACTAGAAGGCATAAAGGTTCAAATTGCAGACTGCTTGGTTTGCATTGCAGCGTGGTCTGTTTTGATTCAGTTTGGTTTTATATTGTTATACTCTCTGCATTGCTATTTAGGATGCAGGATTAGATTATTTTGATGCTGATTCTGATGTCTGAGAAGATCTGATTATCAGTATTTATTTTGCAAAGAGTCCTTTTTTGATTTCTTGTTTTTATACAAACGTATGCAGTTTGAGTCATTACATTTTCTAGATTAATATTTGGGGTTGTTAAGATTTTTTAAAGTAGTTGTTGAAAGTTGTTGAATGTGAAATGTTTTCTAATTTAATATATTTTAAAATGTAATTTATTCCTGAGAAGGCAAAGCTGAATTTTCAGCAACCTTTGCACCTGTCTTCACGGTCACATGATCCTTCAGAAATCATTCTAATATGCTGATTTGGTGCTGAATTTCTTCTCATTATCAATGCTGAAAACATTTGTGCTGCTTAATATTTTTGAGGAGTCTTTGACTAGTTCAAAAGAACAGCATTTATTTGAAATAAATTCTTTACGGTCACTTTTTATCAATTTAATGCATCATATTTGAATAAAAGTATTAATTCTTTCAAAAAAATAAATAATAAAGACCCCAAACTTCATTCTTTACATCAATTTGAAATTTATTTTCAATTCTTGGTCTGTTGATTCAGAAATTCATAGAATTAGCATACTTGCTCTTGAAAATTTACATTTCCCAATTCATACACATTGTATATTTTCAGAGGAATAGATGAACAAAAATGTACCTAGCTGTTTAAAGGAACTATTTCAGCTCTAATGGCTCTTTCTGTATATCAGCATATTAATCCACCTGTGGCGTTGGGGTTAGGCGAGTCATTCCTTACACTGGGAGTCTCTAGATTTGAGTCATTTTAGTATGAGAGCATTTTAGGATGGAGTCTGTTGACAGTGTTACAGTCTGTTATAGAATGAGGAACAAACAGTCCTGGCTCAGGTCAGAGCAGAGAAGTGGAGAGGACAGCACCTGCTGTGTGGGAAGGCCGTGTGGCCCGGACGGAGGGCGAGAGGAGCAGGAAGTCTTCGTGTTTGCTGTGTCATTTTAGGATGATAGTGTTTTGTAACAGTCTTATGTTTACGAATGTAATCTCATGAACAAACAACCATCAAATTAAAATTCAATCGAAATCAAATTTTGGCCTTATTTAAAATGTATGCCGGCACAGTAAAAAGTTTATTTCCAGAGGTTACATTATAATATTCTAAAGCAATGCTGAGTGAAAAATGCTGCAATAAAAAGAGAATAGAAATACTTAAAGACACAAAAAAGGTTACATTCTCAGGGTTAGAAAAAAAAACATAAACAATGGGTGTTTTGCCACAAAATACTTTCGACTAACGATATAAATGGGCCCCAGGGAAGAAAAACATGATTTATGATATGATCTCTTTAAGGATTTATTTTAAATTGCTTTTATCTTTTAATTTTTAAAGACTTTTTAACCGACACTTTTATCTTTAATGATGATTCTTCAGATTTGATTTACTTATTTGGACTTCAGAGATGGTTACTGTCATGAAGCTGTTACTTATTCATTTGTTACACACTGTTATCTAGTAGTATCCAGTGAGAATGCTGGATGAAATGTATCGCATGCGGTGTGCGTGTTAGTAAGTGATGTTAATGCCCGTGGAGTACTCAAAGCGTGGGCGGATTCTTAGTCCAATAGATACCTTCGCAGGAGGCACCTCTAATGTGTTATGCCACACACACACACACACAAATCTTCTCTGATCCAGCACTGACTCACCCATCACTTTTTCCTGCTTCTCTGGTTTTCTCCGCAGGAACGCATCTTCCTGACGTTGTCCAACTACATATTTACTGCCATCTTTGTGACCGAAATGACAATAAAGGTAGGTGACGGGGTTGGCATTTGTCTCTGTGTGGTGTCTTCTCTGACAGAGGGTAAACTAGCACACTGCCTGGGCCACAATACCAGCCAAAAGCAGACTTAACTTCAGTTCCCTGTGGCTTTTTTATAGTGCCGATCTCTCTTAGATCAGCTTGACTAATGGAGTCTGGTGAAAAAAAAAAAATATATATATATATAAAACAACTTTAACATTTATGTAACAACTTCAGTTTCATTCATTGTAACAACAGATCTCTCCTTTTGTGTTTCACAGAAGAATGTAAGTTGTGCAGGTTTGGAACAATGTGAGGGTGAATAAATAATGACAGAATTTTGGGGTGAACTATCACTTTAAGGCACTGCTTTCCACTGACAGTCACAAAGTCTACACAAAGACTACAGCAGCAAAAATATTAAAATCATGCTCCGACATGTTCAACTGCCGCCAGTCAGCTGAATTAAACATTTGAACAAATACAGGTCCTAAAGAGAGTCCACTGACATGAAGAGTCTATTAAGCAAGCCTTGCTCTCTATTTTCCACTCTCCACCACAGCAGTTAATACTAATCAGGGGTGGATTGTCTGCCAGATATTCAAATGACTAACGTTGAAATGGAAGAACATGCTGAGGCCTCTCTGGAGAAGACAGAAAAGTTCATAGGTGTCAGTCACAAAGGTCTAGGGTTTCTATTCTGGGGCCCTGCTTTATGCCAGGTCATGCCCGCCTTAGAGATTTCAAATGAAAATCATGGCACAGAATAATCATACTCACTGGAGGTTAATTAACGGCAACTGACTAAAACTTTCCGGGTCGGATGAAGATGACGGCTGTTGAAACTCCTGGCTTTTGGTGCCTGACATGCCTTTGTTCACTTTGAGGTCTGATCACATTGTGGTTTGATATATTCACCAGCAACATCATTAGGAGCTGTGCATTCATGCTTAGTACTTTTTAGTCAGATGATTCTCAATCCTGGTTTGTTTATCTCAGCCCCCCCCAGCCCTTTTATATGCCAGCTGTATGCCAGTCTAACATAATACGTTCTCAGAAATGCCACGGTAGTGTGAAAAAGACCTCAAAGGAATAAGAAAGTGTTTCTTCCCAAAATTCAGATTTCAAACACATTTTCTGTGTTTCTGAAAAACATGTGCATAGTTTTTCTAACAGGCTTTGGTTTTGAAAGAATTTAATTTATAGTAGGGTGCATATTTTTTACAAAATTGTGTGCATTTTTAACATCTACAAAATTCATTTGTAATGAAAGCTACAGTAAACAAAGTACATAACTACAGAAAATATGCTTTACAGATATAATGAAGTATTGCCTTTACTTAAAGCGATAGTTCACCCAACATTTAACATTTTCTGAACATTTACTCATCCTCAGGCCATCCAAGATGTAGATGAGTTTGTTTTTTCATCAGAACAGATTTGGAGAAATTTAGCATTACATCACTTGCTCACCAATGGATCCTCTGCAGTGAATGGGTGCCGTCAGAATTGAGAGTCCAAACAGCTAAAAAAAAACATCACAATAATCCACAAGTAATCCATCAAGAAGTTTTTAACTTCTCTATCCATTATATTGCTTTCTCCAGTGAAAACGTCATTTCACCTGAGTCAGGAGAGAAATCAAGCACCATTTACAAACAAATACAGTCCAAAAACTGTTCCGATTATGTCAGTAGATTTTGGTGTGAGAGGACAACAGGGCATTGTTATAGATTATGGACTTGTATTTTGGTTAGAAAAGACGGTTTAAAGTTTAAACGCCTTAATGATGGATTTATTTCCTACAAACATGCACTGGAGTTGTGTTCATTATTTGTGGATTATTATGATATTGTTATCAGCTGTTTGGACTCATTCTGACGGCGCCCATTCACTGTAGAGGATCCATTAGTGAGCAAGTGCTGTAATGCTATATTTCTCCTGATCTTTTTAGATGAAACAAACTCATCTAAATCTTAGATAGCCCGAGGGTGAGTAAATCTTAAGCAAATATTCATTTTTGGGTGAACTATTCCTTCAAAGTTGAAGTCTTTTATTTTTACAAAAGTTTTTATTTTGACTATTATGATACAAATTCGTCTGTCGTCCATTGTTCTGCAAAACAGATCAACCTACAAATGGCTTACATGGACTAGAATACAATGTTGTGAATACAATGTTGTATTTGTATGAAACTACACAATTTGGCTTTAAGTAAAATTTTATCCAACATTTCTGTTTTAAAATCATACGTCTTGTTGCTGTGAAGGTGGTTGCTTTGGGCTGGTGTTTCGGGAAGAAGACCTACCTGAAGAGCAGCTGGAATATTCTCGATGGTATGCTGGTGATGATCTCCGTGATTGACATCCTGGTATCCATGATCTCCAACAGCGGCACTAAGATCCTGGGAATGCTTCGGGTGCTACGGTTACTGAGGACCCTGCGTCCACTCAGGTACACAACACAACTGTTCAAACATCCAGTCAGTGCTGCGTTAAGACATTATTCTAAATAATAGTAATGAGTACATCGAAGCTTTAATGCACAAGTGCAATACTGAAGGCTACATACATAAACACTTATATGTACTTCGGGTCAGAGTGCTAGATTTGCACATCTTAAATAAGTATCCACTTTCTTACAAGAAGCATAATTAATGTAAAGACTGAAGTCCCACAATTATCCTCGAAAGAATTTAATTTATAGTAGGGTGCATATTTTTTACAAAATTGTGTGCATTTTTAACATCTACAAAATTCATTTGTAATGAAAGCTACAGTAAACAAAGTACATAACTACAGAAAATATGCTTTACAGATATAATGAAGTATTGCCTTTACTTAAAGCGATAGTTCACCCAACATTTAACATTTTCTGAACATTTACTCATCCTCAGGCCATCCAAGATGTAGATGAGTTTGTTTTTTCATCAGAACAGATTTGGAGAAATTTAGCATTACATCACTTGCTCACCAATGGATCCTCTGCAGTGAATGGGTGCCGTCAGAATTGAGAGTCCAAACAGCTAAAAAAAAACATCACAATAATCCACAAGTAATCCATCAAGAAGTTTTTAACTTCTCTATCCATTATATTGCTTTCTCCAGTGAAAACGTCATTTCACCTGAGTCAGGAGAGAAATCAAGCACCATTTACAAACAAATACAGTCCAAAAACTGTTCCGATTATGTCAGTAGATTTTGGTGTGAGAGGACAACAGGGCATTGTTATAGATTATGGACTTGTATTTTGGTTAGAAAAGACGGTTTAAAGTTTAAACGCCTTAATGATGGATTTATTTCCTACAAACATGCACTGGAGTTGTGTTCATTATTTGTGGATTATTATGATATTGTTATCAGCTGTTTGGACTCATTCTGACGGCGCCCATTCACTGTAGAGGATCCATTAGTGAGCAAGTGCTGTAATGCTATATTTCTCCTGATCTTTTTAGATGAAACAAACTCATCTAAATCTTAGATAGCCCGAGGGTGAGTAAATCTTAAGCAAATATTCATTTTTGGGTGAACTATTCCTTCAAAGTTGAAGTCTTTTATTTTTACAAAAGTTTTTATTTTGACTATTATGATACAAATTCGTCTGTCGTCCATTGTTCTGCAAAACAGATCAACCTACAAATGGCTTACATGGACTAGAATACAATGTTGTGAATACAATGTTGTATTTGTATGAAACTACACAATTTGGCTTTAAGTAAAATTTTATCCAACATTTCTGTTTTAAAATCATACGTCTTGTTGCTGTGAAGGTGGTTGCTTTGGGCTGGTGTTTCGGGAAGAAGACCTACCTGAAGAGCAGCTGGAATATTCTCGATGGTATGCTGGTGATGATCTCCGTGATTGACATCCTGGTATCCATGATCTCCAACAGCGGCACTAAGATCCTGGGAATGCTTCGGGTGCTACGGTTACTGAGGACCCTGCGTCCACTCAGGTACACAACACAACTGTTCAAACATCCAGTCAGTGCTGCGTTAAGACATTATTCTAAATAATAGTAATGAGTACATCGAAGCTTTAATGCACAAGTGCAATACTGAAGGCTACATACATAAACACTTATATGTACTTCGGGTCAGAGTGCTAGATTTGCACATCTTAAATAAGTATCCACTTTCTTACAAGAAGCATAATTAATGTAAAGACTGAAGTCCCACAATTATCCTCTTCCTCACAGAAGCATCAATTAGCTCCTAATTGATGCAGTATGTAGCTGTGTTTGTGTTTATGCATATGCATATGCATGTATTTGTGTGCATATGTGTGTGCGCTGTGCACCTTTCCTCCTGCAGAGGGAACTTCTGGAGGCCTTCCCTACTCTTAAATATTTATGACATATTCAAGCAGAAAATAAAAATCAAATATTCATCTTTCCTGCCCAATTTCCCCACAAAATGCTTACACTGGTCTTTCACCCCCAGTCACTCCCTTCTCCCTTTTCAAGTACTCCTCAATTTAGGGTCAACTTCCGCAATTGCCTAATACTACCAAGAGGCTTGTATTAAAAATACAATATATTCCGGTAGTTGTGTGTTCACTTGCCTTTCAACTGTGTTGGTGCAACATTAATGTGCTGTCAACAACATTTTTGAAAAGGAACTAGAAAGAAAAGACCACTTGGATTTGCTTTTGCATTTTATTTATGTTAATCTGCCAGATACAAGGAACTTTCAAATATTAAATGGCAAATACCAACAACAAAATTTTTATTTGTTTCCTACATGTATATTTATCATATAATATTTATACTGCATTAATGTAAATTACATACTTTTGCTCCTGTGAACTACTAAAGAGGAAAAAATGTTGTTGAGGGAAAAATGTAGTAACTGTACTACAGTAACTATATTTGTTTGGTACACATGCACGCTGAATTGAAACACCTATAAAACATATTTGGTACGGATATATCTACTGTTGCACTACTGTTATAGAGAGACAGAGAGAGGATATACAGTGGGGAAAAAAAGTATTTAGTCAGCCACCAATTGTGCAAGTTCTCCCACTTAAAAAGATGAGAGAGGCCTGTAATTTTCATCATAGTTATACCTCAACTATGAGAGACAAAATTAGAAAAAAAATCCAGAAAATCACATTGTAGGATTTTTAAAGAATTTATTTGCAAATTATGGTGGAAAATAAGTATTTGGTCAATAACAAAATTTCATCTCAATACTTTGTTGTATACCCTTTGTTGGCAATGACAGAGGTCAAACGTTTTCTGTAAGTCTTCACAAGGTTTTCACACACTGTTGCTGGTATTTTGGCCCATTCCTCCTTGCAGATCTCCTCTAGAGCAGTAATGTTTTGGGGCTGTCGCTGGGCAACACGGATTTTCAACTCCCTCCAAAGATTTTCTAAGTTCCCTTCAGTGATACATTAATATAACCCCATGAATGTAATGCATTTGTACTTATTTTACTATTTTCTTTTCGGGATCTACTGGGACAGTGATAAAGATCTACCAGTCGATCGCGATCGACGGGTTGGCGACCACTGCTCTACGCCATAGAAGTGTAAATGAAAACCGATGCACAGCCTGTGTTGTTGTCCACGTCGATATGCAATTACACATGCAGACCGCTAGTCTGCAGTGTCCACGCGGGCATGATGCTGGTGTAACCCACAGCATCAAGGCAAAAGCCGAAGAAGAAGCAGCTTGTCGGTGGAGCATCAGCCTTGACGGCGGCAAATAAAAATATCTAAGAACAGATAATTTATTTAAAACTACAAAAAAGGAGACGACAACGGAACTGGAGAAGATGGCACTCTTTCAATCTCCACAAGGTCTTGTACCATGGCAGAACAACATTTTTTGTCGTGGACAATTAAGTGATGTATGCTATGTTGTATAATAAATAAGACACTTGTTCTTTGCTTTGTTTATTTTAAATAAGTATGTGTAACATTAAAGTATATTAAAGTGCAAAAAAACACACACAAAACTCAAATACATACAGAGGGAGGGGTTCTAGCAGACCAATCACAGCGCTTGCGGTCCACATCGAATTGACGTGCTGTTACATTTTTGGAGAGGTGCACGTCAGGCTATGCCGAAGGCTATGTGTGCTACACACAGCCTATTGTGTAGCTATGGCATAGGTTCAATGCAGAAGTATAAATTGGGCTTTAGAGTTTTCTATTCCATTGATTTGTGACCATTATTTATTTATTTCATATTGCTGACTGTTTGATCTTACATGTAAAGCTAATTTTGACAGAAAAGGATTACACACTTTTGGTTTGATAGCAACTTTGTTAAGTAAAGATAGCAACATTTCAGTTAAGTAAATTCAAATTTGGGTTAACTTTTTGGCTTTGTGGTGAGTTGTGTTTCTTTTTTCCTGGGTTGTGACGGTGAGGAAATTTTCCCACCGGTTAATCGACGTGTGACAACACTGGTAATACCGGTATCACCGCGGGTGCGTTCCCTCTTTTCCTCGCTTTCCTTCGCTTTTAAATAGCTTGTAAAAGCTGCATGCGCATTTTACTTTCACTTTCAAATAGCGGCAATTCGGAGTAAAGGAATTGTCGTTTTTAGTTCGTTAGAATTTTCCCTCTTTTCCTCGCTTTCCTTCACTTTTAAATAGCTTAAAAGCGCCGTGCGCATTTTACTTTGACTTTCGAATTAGTGGCAGTTCGGCGTCAATTGCTTGAATGCAACAACAAAATACAACGTCAAACTCACTTTAGCGTATATATAAAACATAGAACTTTTATTAACAAAACAAATAAAAATACACCATGCTATAGGGCAGGCTATGCCTGATATAAAATAACAAATAACTTACATAAAGTTTAAATAGGTATACAAAACTGGAAATAAGTAAACATGTATAATATATAACCAAATAAATAATAAACGTAGAACGTTTATTAGCAAAACGAGTAATAAAGCTTGGAGGCACGGCATACACCTTGATGTCAAATAAAATAAATAAATGACACAAAGTTTAAATAAAGTAAAAATCAG